TTTACTTTTATAAAACTGAAATTAATTTTCACCCTATTTTTTAACTGTCAGTACTGTTTAAAATTTTATATGAATTGTTTTGCCAACTTTATTTATTATTATTATTTGTACATCTTGTCAAAAAGGCATTCTGGTTACCCAACTTGGAAGAGCTGGACGAGGCAAGTAAAAGATCACTACCAAGCTAACAAGAACCTGGGAGATATCATTGATTGGTACATCAATTGGAAAAAAGATGAAGAAGTTGGCATGTTGCAGCAGAAACGTTTACCTTAACTACAAGTACCCTGGGCACACCTATGTCCTAACACCTTTAAAAGGTTTTTTTCAATATTGAAAGGGTGGAAAAAGCCGCAAGTGATTTCTGACGAGTAGCTAGATTCTCTTTTGACTCCAAGAGTCGCTTAGGGCCTTATTCCATGAACCTCTTCTATTTAAAAATGTTTCTTTTTCGAGCTTTAAGAAAGAACCACTGCTGCTCTAATGTCCTTGATAGTGAAACAGTGCTCAAACATTTTATATTGTATTGAAAGAAAGAAGAAAAAACTGTCAGTGTGATTTGTACATATTTCTTGTTATTGTTGTTTTGTTATTTTTTAAACTATTAAAAATGTTTAATGTTCAAATAAGAAAAATACTGCTTTTACTGAATGTGACTATAAAACTTCATTTCTAGGGTCTCTTTTCTATATGTCCCCTGCTACTGTAGAAAGAGGAATGAAAAAAAAATGCTGGGAACAAGGTTGATTGTTTAAATAAATATTATTGTTATAATTCAAAGGGACAGACTGTAAATAACTGTATACAGCTCCTGCAAATGAAGTGGTAACATTACAGTTTTTTTGGCATGCAATTCTAAAATGAATTTTAATTCCATTACATGCATCAGACATCCATGAAGAGTTACTTCAAATGTTACAGTCAACTCTCTCACTACACGTTAATTCTCAAAAGTTACCAACAAATTTCCTCCTAACAACCTCAGTACAGTATCAAGACCAAAGGTTATGAGAATTAAAAATGATCACCAAAGGGTTAGCCAATTTTCAAATTCGCAGGCAACAGAAACAATTATTTTTTCTCAATACAAATCCTTGTAATAAATTATTTGAATGCTACGCAAGAGTGTCGATGGTCTTATTTTGAGGTTTGGTCATTATCTATGGGTTAACTCTTTAAGCCCCAATATCTGCATACAAATTCTCCAAACTGATCTCTATACATTTTCTTACAGAATAAGTTGAGAGAATTTGATGAAAGATCAAAGCATTTTCTCTTAGGTGATCAATTTATTAATTCTCATAACCAAATCTCTTGACAATCGATGGATATCGTTAGGAGAAAATTGATGTTGGTCACCATTGGGACTTACAGGGTTAACAAAATGGGGGAAGTGTCTTAGCCAATCACATTCAGTCTATATCACATATCAAGGCAAATCCCAATTAACAAAAAAAAAACAGGGTAATAAATGGAAATGCTACATTAAACCACTCTGCTGTAATGCCACAAAAAGACAACAAAAGATAGAAAGAAATATTGTGTTTTATTACATGTACAAATATGTACAAACTAACTTAATATTAGTCTTCAATTTGCAGCTTCTATACAGTGATGTTCAAAGACACTAAATAGTTTTTAATAATTCATTTATGCTCCAATCAACACTCCCTAACCACCTTTTATAACACAGTGAATTTCCTTGGGCAAGTTTAATATCACATATTATTCTCTGATACAGTAAAGTTGAATTTACCAAGCTGACAATCCAAAAATGGATTTTTTTTTACCATGGCAATAATGCACCTTATTATAGAAAATTGAAGCTCAATGAAATTAAGGTATTGGAAATTAACATAACTTAACGTTAATTTCCTCTACCTGCAGAAATGCCACAGGCCTTCTTAGCAGAGTTTTTGCAAACTTGTGTAGTTTTTTGCATCCACACTCAAACCACATAAAATGCTTTGTTCATAAATCCTAAATAAATGTTTATAAAATGCAAGTCAGAATGTGCAATCTTTAGTTCAATAATCCATTTCCCAATTTCGGCAAAAAAGAAAAAAAAATTGAAAAACCGAATTTGGAATTTTTCAAAGAAATGCATCCTTAGTTGAAATCTGTGACATGTTTTTCACCCTACAAAAATATATCTAAGTCTAAAAGTTAGTCACATTTAACTGCCAGCAGTGTCCATTGCATACTATTCCATCTACATGTACCGGTTGCTCCTAATGACCCTCCTACACTGTAGATACATGTACATGTAAGATCCTATCAAACTCTTCTCTTCTGCCTGACAAACCATTCTCAGGGGGAAAACAGAATTTGGAAATTCATGGGTCTCAGAAATTATGTTTGGATGCACTACTTGCTCTTTCACTGAGTTTTGAACATTTTGACATCATTTCAAAAGTTATAGCCGATTAATTTGTTTAGTATGTTCTTGGTATTACCATTAGGTTTGTCCCAAGAAAAGTTTGACATTTGACACTGCCCTTAGGGAGAACTTGATTGCACCAAACCTGAGAACTACACTGACTAAATGGAAGCTACTGCCCTCTTGACCCCTTATAACTACAAAAAGCCTAAGTACATTCAGTGAATGTTGTGACCATATTTCCCACTTTTCTTGTAACAGTCCGACATGTTCTGCCTCCACCTGCGAAGAGAGAAACAGAGGATGCTCAGTGCAAAGTAACCAGCTATAAAACTCAAAAACTAGGGAGCACTTTCAACAGATTCCCTCTCACCCATTGACCATCACTGCCTGTCACTGGGGGGAGCAGGTTTCAATATCTCTTACTCTAAATGCCATAGAAAGAATGAGAGTAAGGAGCAGTTTTCTACATGAAGGGGAGTGAAGGTACAAGGTAAAATCATTCATTTCGTGCATACTGTGAATTCGGTATACAATCACCCTAGATGACTACAAAGGAGGCTGAATATCCCTGACACAAATATTGCAGACCTTCCTTCAACGATAAAAAACACTTCGTACATGAAAATCTAGACTTAAAAGAACCACCTCTGTTGTGCGATGGAATTCAGGTGTCATCTGTGACCCTTCCCCCTGTCCACCCCCTTTCTTCCCCCCCTACCCTGCTCAAAGTAATGTTATCAGGCCTGGGTTAAGTATACAGAGTGCACAAAAGTCAACACAGCTTGGGTTGGGAGGGGGAGTAACGTTTAACTCCATTTTAGTGTCCCAAGACTCTCAACATCACTCACTTCATACTAAACAAAATTATATGGATTGTTGTTTTGAAAACAGAATAAAATGTTTCTTTTGAACAAGGCTATTCCAGAATAATCCAGAATTTTATCACGATAAGGTTGAAATAACCATACTCTTAGGGGCGCACTTACTTGATTCTCTAAATGCTGTATGTCTGACATTTCTGTGCATTCTTTCTCCATCGTCATTTGTAAATACATCTTCTCTATGACTAGTTGTGTGAAAACTTCCGTCACTGAAAAATGAGTCCCCAAATCCACCAAATTTAAATCCTCCAAAAAAGTCATCATCTTCTTCTTCATCATCGTCATCAAAGAAATCATCAAATCCACCTCCGCCACCACCAAAAGAAAACTTCCATTCTTTTCCATGTCCATGTCCACTTCCAAAGTCAAAATCTTTGAATATATCATCGAAGCTTCGGAAACCTTGTGAATGGAAATTGAAGCCATTATCGTTCATTCCTTCTGATCCAAACTGATCATATTGCCTTCTCTTTTTTTCATCTGACAGAACTTCATACGCTGAAAGAGTTGAAGAGTGCTTTCATTAGAGTTGAATGAAGTGTTATCAGTTCTTTCTGGAACAAGGTTATGCTCTAAAAAAATTGATTTTCTGGATTTTCTAGTCACACTGTTACAGGAGCAAAGATTATGCACCGGGGAACACCGGCAATGCATAATTTGTGCTACAGCACAGGCTTGGGGAAGGGGGGGTATTTGACCCTGACTGGTAAACACACCTTAAAGATGTACACCAGATGATTCACAACAACAATTTTTAGTGCACAGCAGTGTGGCAATGTTGGAACTATTTGAAACAATGTCGCAATGCTTTGTTGAGCTAAAAATCGTCATTGCGAATTGTCTCTTTAACGTCACCTGAAATCTCCATGTCAGGCTATGTCCATGCACAACATTCTATCATGCATCCACTGAAACTTCTTACACACACTATTACTTTCAGATCACTCTGTCTACACTTTTATTATTTTTAATTTTTTATTATTGTCAATTTAATGTTTGAGCTTTTTGTTGAACTCACATGGTAACCAATCACTTGAACGAACTGCTTTCACATTTCAACAGTAATTTTTCAGCATATTTCTTTTATTTAAGATTATATTTTAACTTTGAATTTTGGCCATTTAAAATTATTATTTGTCCATGCTTTCAAGTGGGTAAAATTCCCCACGTAGGCATCTAATGGACAGCATTTTAAGGTAGTCCAGTAAAAGGTTTACCGCTAGTTTTGTAAAAGGTTTGGCAAGGATTATTATTATGCTTTAAAGAGAGGGATTATTATATGACCAGCTGTGTTTAATCACCCGCTGAGCCACTCTTTTTCTTCAAATAAAGTTCTGCCCCCTCAAATAGACAGACAAAAGTTAATCAGTAGCTTATAATCAAGTCTAAAGCTCTCCTCCTCTTTGCTACACACACCCCACATGTTTGATTTGTTTTGAGGGCAGAACAACAGCTTCTGAGTCTCTATACAGTAGCCAATTCAACATAATCAACTCAGATGAAAAATTTAATATCTCTCCCCTACAAACTGACACATTTACCAAAGTGTCTGTATAAACTAACTGTAATATCCATTTATTATTGAAGAAACTGTCCAAGCAAGCAGTACACTGTACACTGTACACTCCAGCATATAAGCAAAAGGGGCACTGCTGGGTTGCAATATTTTTCACCAAATTAAAATACTGGTCTATTACTGTATACTGTCACTAAACTGCATTTACAGACACTACTATGTTCTCTGATGTGTAATAATTATTCATCATTTGAAAGATTACTAGAGTAACAAATATAAGTGCTTTGAAAACAGCATAAATTATTTTGACGTCAAAAAAAATTGTCAAGGGCCAGGGAAATCTTCTAACGAACTGAAAAATTAGGACCAAAATAATGTCCATTTGTGCGTAGTGGAATTTTTCCTTGAATGTGCACAGTTAACATACAAGCACTACACAGTTGCAAATTTTAATTTTGTACACTTTGCCCCAAACCCCTACGCTCCGCGTGACTGTACATTTCTTAAGTAAGTGCCTCTAAGCTCAGCTCAGTTATGTGTAAGCCAGAAAGTGAATCATGGAGGTAAAATTGATCTAACATTCCCAAGAATTCAGAGTAGGGGCAGAGGGCCAAGGCAGCCTATCAATCAATGTACGTGTGGTCAGTGCAAGTTCATTTTCAGTTTTCCCTTTTTAATTGTCATTGGTTAAAAAATAGTCTTAATTCACACTTGCAGTTTACTTGAGAAGCAGCACTTCTAGACACATGCAAAATTTGTATATCGTAATGTAAAGTGAGCTGTTGCTAGGTACAAGTATGTAAGCTTATTTGTACTTTAATCTTCGGAAAAACTGATCACTTCAATGAGTCATCACTTTGCTATTAAAAGCGTTAAATCACATGACTTATTAAATTGAAGCAGAAAACACCTCCAGTTGAACATTCGTGATTCAAGTGTCACAAGCTTGGATTTCAAATCCAAAGTGAAAAGCAAATTATTTCCAAAGATATTGTTATGCAATCCAAGTACACCTTGTAATAAAAACAATTGAAAGCCTGACAACAATTGGACATCTTCTACGCAGAAAATCTATTCAAACCTTTCAGTGAATTACAGGAAACGAGTTTATGTCCAACAAACATAAGCTTAAATATAAAGCAAAAACAATAAATGTGTATGAAAAGGTACTCAATTCTTGAAAATGACAACCAAACTTTAACAGAAGGAACTGGTCCCATGCTGTTTTCTCTAATACACGTATAATTTATGTTGGAACGTTTGAGGTATCGACGTGTATCGAGAATGAGAAGTCTTGGGTTTTACTGAGGAAAAACTAATTCTCAAGATAAAGTAACGGCCTCGTATTATAGAGGAATACATCTTATGTTTGTTTCAAATTATATTTGACAATCCTAAACGAAATTGAAAACACTTCCAATTTCCGAGAGGTGTTACCTACCTTCCGCTATCTCGCGAAATTTGGCCTCTGCATCTTTTTGCTTATTTTTATCAGGATGGTATTTCACGGCAAGCTTTCTGAAAGCTTTCTTGATCTGTCTGTCACTAGCATCTCTTGGTACACCTAAAATCTTGTAATAGTCTTTCGCAAGAGCCAAGTCAAGACTGGCGAGAATGCTGAATGTTGCGGTGACAAGCAACATAAGATTGTCACAATTCATCGTCCTGTTGAATCCGAAATAACTAATACACTAGCTAGCAATCTACAAATCAACAGTTCGTCACTTAAAAGTACGCTGAAACAGGCCTAAATGAGGTTTTTCCAGGCAAAGTTTGTTGATGAAACGTTCCTTGCCGCTTACAGCATACGAAACGTTCTATGATTGGTCAATTACGAAGCATGACGTATCACTTCCCCCGGCTGCTTTCTTACCCAGAACTCTTTGCTGTCGTGTTACCATCAAAACAAACATGGCGGACGACTCTTCGGATGAAGATGTCGAGGTACAGAATGGATTTCTTGAAGAACTGGAGATCTTTCTCCCGGGTGACTCAGAATCAGATAACAGTGACTCAGCAGGTAATGTGGGGCTGATAAGGAAATGGTCTGACAGGCGTTAGATAGGGTTTTACTAAAATAAGCTGTAATTTTTAAAAATCAGCTGTCAGTAGTAAAACATGGCTTTTTATCTAGTTTTGGCATTTCTAGCCGCATCGATCTCCTTGAAGAGCCTAAACTGTACCTTTTTTGTATTGAGAGAATGAACAGAGTGTACTTTTCCGATTTTAAGTTGGAGGAAATGGTTAGTAAATTGACGTAAATTGCATGCATGCCTCTTTGCACGGTCCATCAAACAACATAACATAACAGTCACGGGTAATTTGGTAGTTCACTTTAGCGCTGCAGTTACTGTGTCATGTCAAACTGCAATTTACCTGTTACCTCTCTTGGTTCTTTCTTTTAATAGCTGAAATTGTACAGGAAAGTGATGAAGAGCAACATAATGCCATTAATTTTGATCCATCTCTTCCTACACAGCATCAGGTATTGGATAGACCTTCTTTTAGTCATTCAGAAACATATAAATGATGAATAAAGGGTCATAATTACTATTTGTCCAGTTTGATTTAATTCAGTTGATGTTACTTCAGTAGCTTCACCTTGGTTCTCTACTTCAGTTCTTCCCCGGAGGGGGAAGAAGTATAGTCAACTCCCTCTAAGACGGACACCTTTGAGACCGGCAGTAAGTGTCCATCTTAGAGAGATGTCCATCTTATAGAGAGTCAAATAAAGGGAGTAAAAAACCGCAGGGAACAACTCTAGGTGTCCGTTTTAGGGATGTGTCCGTTAAGAGAGAGTCAACTGTAGTAGGCTAATGGGGATGTGCGGCTGGATTGGGTCGCATCTTCATGACTGGATTGACTATTATGGGGTTGCATTTTTGTAAGAGTTACTAGAATGGGTTCGCACATTTTCAGGATTTTGGAGGTCAGAAAATTCTGGTATTTAGGGATTTAAAAATAGAAAGATATACACCACATTAAGTTTAACAAATGTGTCAGTTCATTTAAGGATGACCAAGTTAAAAGGCTTTATATGGTAGATACATAAACAGAAAGTGACTAAGAGGTCCTGCCAGGAGAAGGGGAGGGGACCCATGTCGCTTGTCTGAATTTTAAAACATCTCATGTTGGTGTTTATAAATGCTTCAGGACCTTGCTGTCAGAAATTGAACCGAAATTCTTTGTCTTTGTCGGAATTTTAGAAAAAGGGGATAGCGATGTGATGAGAAGAAACCATATACAGTTCTGTAATTTCTCAGTTAACATTTCGTGTATCAAACATCAATACATCGCTATTCACAATTAACACAATTCACAGGAGGATCCACTTAAGCTCCACAGACAAGAGACGTTCTCTGAAGGGCAAGGAAAATTGACAAAAACTACTCCTTCTTAGCATTCAGCCTGGTGATAAATTAAGTCCAAACCACCATTCTTTTTTGCTTATTCTTGGCTTTGCCGTTACTGTCGCAATTTGGCTGAGGGCGGTTGTCTCTTGGCACGATTTCATTTTACACCCTGTCACTACTTTGTTAGTGATGTTGCTTGTCGGAATTTACCCTGGCAGGGCCTCTGACTAAGGTGGGATTGCGAAAATTACTTTTTTCCCAACGAGTGACTAAGATGGGGTCTATAATGTTACCACAGAAAAGTCTATAATGGAGTAGGGGTTCTGAGGGGCCAGCGGCACATGTCCAGCAAAAATTTAACACAAGTACTCTCCCCCCACCCCCTCCTGCCAGGAGTTCTTCATTGGAAGATTATGGAGTGGAAAACTTATATATATTATTATTTCACATTTTTTTACTTGAGTTTGTGAGATTCATACATGGGTTAAAGATCTTCGGAAGCTCTAGTAAACTTTTCTAACCAGATCCCAGAGTTAACAGTCTCCAGGGTTTTATCTGGGTGAGTACATTAAAATAACTGAAAAAAGTATTAATGTGATTGCAGTATCTTGGGGAGGAGATGGACGAGTTCAGTGGTCGTACATACTATGAGCCTGGTTCTAACATTGTTCTTCCACTGCTGATGTTACCGGGCTTGGTCCTTGTCCCTGGGCAAACATTGCCTCTTCATTTGTTCCAGCCCCAGGTAAAGAGTGTTGTTCATAAAATTTCATAAAGAAAAGTCTACAGCACAACATGTGCTTTATCAATCAGATGATATTTTTATTTATGTAAGTGTCACTGAGACATAAATAAAAATCTTGTCAACTTACGCTAATGACAGAGATTGATGTTATATATACATCTTTTTTGAAAAATTTTACAAGTAATTCAGTCCTTGGACTGCGAAATGTGAATTACAATAAACAATCTACAGCTATCTATTTATCTACATATATCTACGCAGCAGTTGCATTTGGTACCAACTCAGGTAATAATCCCAAATCATTTGTTTCAGTTCCTGTCTGTTGCAGCATCACAACTTGTGTAGAAACTGCATCCTTTCATCAGAGAAGTGCAAACAACCAAACCTATTGTTTAAAGCCTGGCTGTTTACTACATGATCTTTTTTTTTTTTTTGCAGTCAGTTGCCATGATGAAGAATATTGTAGAAAAGGACAGGACCTTTGGCTTAGTGAATGCCAGGTAAGGGGTTTGCTAGGTCTGGTTCAATCTCTGACCTTTTTATGAGCCAAAACTAATACCTTGAAATGAAAAGATTGGTCTCTGAATCAATAAAGAACTGTACATTAGTTGTAACATCTTTGAGCAACTTGTTCATTCTTCAAATACCTGGTTGGCCAGGAATTTGACTTACGTGTAACTTGGCATGTGCTTATAGCCAAAAAAACATATTTATTTGGCAATTTCACTAATTCTTACTTCAAATTGTGTTGCTCTTAAATGTACTATGACTTTGGGTTCCATCTAATAACATCTCCTGGTCCACTCATTTCCTTAGTGAAGAGGACATTTTTGCACAGAGCCCAAACAGGTACTTGACATTTGTCAACTTCGAATTAAGCTTGTCTCACCAAAACTTTAGCATCTGAACTGGCCCATTTTTAACTCGTGGGTACGCGTGAGCGTACCACGAGTTATTGCAGGGACTGAGATATGCAAATGAGTCACTCGCTCACTCGTAGTAGACGCACTTCGTAATTAATCGGGTCCGAACTCAAGAGTGCGAAGATCTATCGTTTCCAAAGAAGCACGCGCTCGCCGAAGCTCGGTAGCATCAAATTCCTCGCTGAAAGCGTGCATCGTGCACTACAGCACGGTTAGGATAGAGGTCTTACCAAATTTAAGACACGCAGGAATCTTTCAAATTAGTACGATTCAAAAGCCTTTGATCCGTCCAGGCGTTAAACTTGACGAGAAGATGAGCATTTTCTCTTCGACTCCTTCAACTTCAACGCTGGCTTGATCTCCTGCCTTGTAGTAGTGTAGTAGGTTATGTGTATGAATGAATTTATGGTGGTCAGTATAAAACACTGACTGCGGACTACGGACTGGGACTGGGTATAAAATACGGACTATAAAATACGGACTGGTGAAATGTATGGTAAATAAAGGCACTTCTTTTTCTTATTCTTCTTCTTCTTCTTCTTAAGGACTCCCCAAGATCACGGGGGGAAATGGATGTGAGTTTGAGCATTACCTTTAAAATAACAGCGGAAATCGAGATAAGAAAACATAAGCTAATGTTTTGCATCCTACTTCGCGGAGGATTTGTGTCGGCTTTGTATCGCTTATGTTCTTTCATTGCCATGAAATGCGTTTACATTGTTTTTTACTGTCAGTAGCCTGGTTTCAATTAGCGTTAATTTCATCCGATTGCTTCGAGTCGTTTTTTCAATCGGTTAAGTATGGCTCGATCGTTTGCCCCGGTCGTTTGCTGGCGGAAGTTCCATGGAAGAGGCATTAAAACTGAGACTTTTCACCTAAACACGTGATCATCCTCAATGGCGTAGTGGCTTTGTGAGGTCGTGTCAGCCCGAAGGTACCGGGTTCAAATTCTGCTGAGGACCTTCTTTTTCCTTTCTTCCCTTTTTTCTTCTTTTTTGTTTTGTCTTGTTTGCCTATTTGTTTTGCTGTTTTTTTGTTTTTTTTGTTTTTAAATATATACTTAAATAACTGTTACTAAAGTGCAATAAACAGCAAGAAAAGTATTGTGTTTCCAGAACAAGGATAGTATATTTATAATCTGAATTTCTATCATTTCCTAAAATTCACTGTGGGAAAACCAGAGGTGATAACTACTTGATTATTTTCTAAACAACGTACCCACGAGTTGACGATAGTCTTTCTTTGATTGGGTACTTTGAGGTTTTAAAACAGTTCTGTAGCAAAAATTAAAAGTGGTTATTGAAATCTGCTTGCCATTACATGTAACTATTAATTTCCATAGATATGGTAGCAGTCAAAACCAGTTGTTAGCAGCCATTGGAACAACAGTTGAGATTTTCTCCATGAAAGAAGAAGCTGAGGCTGGGATATGCACGCTAAGAATTAAAGCTATGGGCCGGCAAAGATTTAGAATTAAAGAACTACGCAGACAAGTTGATGGGTGAGTATCATCAAAAGATCAGAGTGCTCAGTAGTTATAGAACAAGTTTTTAATACTGTAACAATTCTTAGAACAAGGTTAGGGTTGTTCTTTGTAGTAAATATTGAATAATATCATTTGTCTCAAGATATTTGAAAGAGGCAGTGTAGTCGAGTGGTTAGAGAATTGGACTCGCAGTCCAGAATGCCTGAGTTTATGTCCCACTTTGACTGATAATGTAGCTGGATTTGTCATTGGTAGTCCCAAGTTCAGCTTTTCTAGAAAGTAGCCAACTTGTTTGCTTCTGGCCTGTTGAAAATCTTACGTGTTAAGTCAGTTCATTTCAGTAATATACATTTGTATTATTGTTTGTTGCTTCCCTTAATCAGGGGCTGCAACGTAAACCACTTACTACCAGCAACTACCCTAGCCTCAGAACACAGCTAACATTTTGTAATGCCACCACTGGTTTTCCCTGCAAAATGATCTCAGATCTGGGTAGGTAGTGCTTCTGATTGGATGAAGCAAATTTTCAACCAGTCAGAAGAAAAGTACCCAAATGTGGGTAGTGACACATCATCAGGGTGTAGAATTTCTACGCTCATTACTCAGACATCATTTGACGTGGAAATTATAGTAATGAGATGGCGTAACAAAATAACCCAGCTGTTTACTCAGGCAGCTACAGGTATTTCTGCTATAAAAAGTCAATTAGTCATAGTCAATCATTTGAAATGTAGATAGTAGTGTTCTTCAGGTAAGACATTTGATTGCCTGAGATGCATTAAGTCCCAGCCTAGGGTGTAATTGATTAGTCTATCATTCATTCTAAGGGTTTGTTTGCCTCCTCTTTATCCAGTATCCTACAGGCCACAGTCCACATCCTTCCAGAAATCAGTCTTCTTTCACACCCTGAGGGTTCACTCTGGTCCTGTTATCACAAGTTTGGTTGCCAGGCAACCACAGATGGTGCCCTTGAAAAGCCGTACCAGGTCTCTATGGGCAAAAACAGGCTGGGAAAGACTAAGTATCAGAAGGTGAGTGAAATTTACACATGTTATTAGACAAATTTATTCAAGGCAGTAAGAGAAGTAAGACGGTTTTTTGCAAGAAGTGTTTTGTTTTTAATCTCAATCTCAGTTCGAATCTAATCTAATGTGCAAAGCGATACATGTAAGACATTTTTCAGCAGTGTTAGATTCTTTCAGCTGTACTTTTTGTGACAAAAATCATTGGGGCACCACTTTTGCTCCAGGGGTAAGCTGACAGCTTGGAAGAAATATTATAGTGAGTTAAATTGGTGGAGAGGAAAAACTTCTTTTTTGGTGGAAGCCACAATGTAGCTAGCAGGAGCAGGAGAGAGTACCCTCCCCTCCCTCTGCTCTGAAGAAATTCTAATGCCCACCCCACACACCCTGGGTACTTATGTCCAGATTTTATGCACCTTGTCCAACGTGGTAGCTCTCAATCTCACACTATTAATATATGGTAATAGGACTGAGTGGAGTGCAATTCGGTTTGTAACCATACAAGTGATTAACAAAATCAGATGACCAGGTTGTGGGAGACCGAATTGGACGACATGAAGTTCTGTTAAATTACCAATTAATCATAACTATTACAAAACTTCTGATATGTTTGGCTTTTGTAAATCAAAACACAATAAAATCCAAGAATTTTTGCTAGCAGTGAAAAAAAAAAACGCCATTTAGGTGGGCGTGTGATGGTGCGTATGGTCCAATTTCTTAGGCATGACACGTACTGTCCTGTTAGGCTGAAATCAGGACAGTTGATAGCCAAACGGATTTGAGAGTTTTGTTATAGTTATGATTAATTTGATAATCATGTCTAAGAGGTGATGACTGTCAGACAGTGTTAAATAATGCTTGTCTTTGTATTAGTGTCTAAATGATAAAGATATTATCTGCTACATGTAATTAGTGTTGCCATTTATTATGTACCTGTAGGTAGCTGTCAGTCTAAGTTCATGGCCAAGATGGGTGTATGAACTCTACAATCCCGTAAGTTGTCTCAGACTTTAGATTGTTATGGTCACACAATAAGATTTCACGACAGACCCAAAAGTTAGAAATTACACACTGAGCTAAATAGTACCTTAATAGTACTATGTGAGAACACTGCTAAAGAAGTTTAATTTGAGTGTTCAACCCATAAGATTTCATTCACGGACACAGACCCTAAGGTCGCAACTACGTACAAAACAAATAGTACCCTGAGAAAGCACTGCTGAAGAGGTGTCATTTGAATGGTAACACCATAGGATTAGAACTACATTCAAAACAAATAGTGCCATGTGAAAGCACTGCTGAAGAGGTTTCAAGTTAATAGTCTACACTATGGGGCACATGTCATATTTTGTGCTAGACTGATGAGTGGTCCAAACTTTTTCTGTCCTTAGCTACTATGGGCCTAGTTAGTCTAAACTGGTACGCGTTTTCTGAGAAAACTACATTAAACCGAAACAAATTGAATGTAATGTTTTCACAGAAAAGACTAAACGTCTGCAATACTCTTTTCGTTATGTTGAAAAAAAATACGACTCATTTTGTATTGTCGACATCACTTTGTAATTAGTTATATTCTCTATAATTCTTACCATCTTGTAGAAAAATCTTCCAAATCTAAAAGAGTCGTCCAAATTGTCCAAATTATTTGTAAATGACTTTCAAGAAAGTTTCTACTCTACTGATTATCTTTCAGTTTGTGTTAATGGAGTTAATAAAGAAGGAGCTGAAAAGTTGGAGTGAAACTCTACGGATTGACAATGTTCCTAAAGCGCCAACAGGTAGGTATGGCTGCACTCACGTGCGCTGGAAAGGAAAATTAAAGACGTTTTGACGATTAAAATTAAAATAACTGTTAGAAATCATAAAGGTGAAAAAAAGGTAAAGGCGCAGACGATCCAAAGGCCCGAACTACCGGAGCAGTATGTCGCCGGTACCCATTTATACACCTGGGTAAAGAGAGACAAAGTGGAGTAAAGTTCCTTGTCTAAGGAAACAACGCGACGGGCGAGGCTCGAACCCCGGACCTCCAGATCCGGAGTTCGAGGTGTTAACCGCATGATTACACACGCCTCCACGGAAGTCATATTTAGTATGACCGGGCCCCAGGTCCACACTAATCTGGACATTTTTAAACCTGCGTATTTATTTACCCGGAACGGCGCTTAATAACAACTCTAAATAGCGGGTTCGGTGAGCGGATTCACTAGTTTCGTGTAGACCGAAGGCCGAGTCCTTTTAAAAAATATGCAGTTTCAAAAATATCCGGATTCATTTTGACGGGGCATATCAAACAATGTTTAACTACTTCTTTTCACAGCAAATTGACGTTTTTTACCTTTAGATTTCTCGTTTTGGGTGGCAGCCAACATGCCTCTGGACGATAACCTAAGACTTCAAATACTGAGCATAAACTGTCCCACCCAGAGACTGCGAAGAGAACTAGAGATTGTGAGAAAGGTAAGTGAAGGTTATAACTGGTTTGCCCACTGAAAATTTTCCGGATCGTCGCAATCGTATCGATTTTTAGGCGGGGGGCGTGGGGCGGGGAAGAAGACTCGGAGGCCGGGGTGGTTGGGACGATCGGAACTATCCATGCGATTGAGGCACGCGAGAACATGATGGACGCACGTGCCCATCACGTTTCCTCGTACCTTAATTCTACCGCCCCCTTTCCTTTCAAACTCCGGCCACACAGGCTGGTTCTATCTGGACGATTGCGATCGCCCAAAACCCGCATTCCGTCTGGATGATCGGGACGATTACATGAAAACCGGGGTCAACAAACACAGTTGCGAAAACGCGTTCTTTTTTGCGCACAGAGAACACCTTTTTTTGTTTAGACGTGTTAACGCGAGATACAGAACATAGCATGGAGGAGAATCAATAGACACAGTTGCGAAAACGCGTCTTTTTTACGCACAGAGAACACATTTTTTGTTTACATGTAATAACGCGAGGTATAGAACATAGCATGAGGTAGAGTCAAGGTTTACTTTTCGAGTTCACAGTTCACAGTCCTCTTGTTATCCGTAAAATCGTTGCCTGGAGCGCATTTTTTTTTTTTCTGTCCTCTCTTCCCCCCGCTATGAGCCCCAACGTCCGCCCCTTTGGTACATTTGAAACAAAGATGGCCGCCCTTCGTAACGGTGAGCGCTCAATCTCGACGATTTTACCGAAAAATTGAGANTTTTTTTTTTCTGTCCTCTCTTCCCCCCGCTATGAGCCCCAACGTCCGCCCCTTTGGTACATTTGAAACAAAGATGGCCGCCCTTCGTAACGGTGAGCGCTCAATCTCGACGATTTTACCGAAAAATTGAGAACTGTGAGCAGTCTACTTTTCGCGATGAACTCTGCAACGTAAACGTCGTGAAACATGTTCATCTAACACCGTTCTGGTGCAAATTTTCTCCCATTGGCGCATTAAAAATGTGGCACCATTTGTTAGAAAACTTTCCTGGCGTAACAGGGTTTTTACTCTCTAATTCTTATGTTGTTTTTAACAGTGCAGTGTCCTGTGTTGCCGTGAATGTGAAACTAAGATAGTGGACAAAAACGATTTGTTCAGGTGAGACACTTAATCATACAAATGGTCATTAGAAATGAGCGCGCGCCTAGTTTGGGTCCCAGGCTATCTCTCTTTTCGGAAGTGAGCTGTTGTTTATTATTTGCATGGGCAAACCGGTCGATCCACGGTTTGGGAAAATGGTACCAAAGCTTAGGACTGGTCAACGTCCTCGCAGAATCTCGTTTACCATTTGTACAAATCGGATACATTTGCCGAAAAACGGCAACGAAAGCCTGAAACTGGTATAAAAGATGCCTTTGGAGAAATGGACATCAAAACGGTCCAGCAAAACAGGACTACCTTTTCAGAGATTTTGTTGCTCCCGGAAATTTTCCTTTGGAACGACCCAGAAAGTCAGGCTCCATTTACTTTCTGACCAGATTTTCCGGAACCTCTTTGTAGATGGTAAGCAACCCTTGTTTGCCCCGCCCCCCCGCCTCCCCATACGCCTCCAAAAAAAAGGTTTGCCTAACCAATGTTTCCAATTCCTCCTGGGTAGCACAGTCGACCCAAGAGGAAAAGAAAACAACGGCTACGCAAAATTTTGGGGAGTAGGCAAGGTGTATAATGGTCCATATGAAAATGGTGAATTACTATGACAAAAGAGCAAAATGAATCCTTACAAAAATGGAGCTAAATTTTGTGATCCCACTTTTTGTAAGAAGGTAGGCAAGCATTAGAAGACAATTTCTTGAACGTCTTTTTTGTTTCCTTTTTTTAAATACACAGCATGTCACTGGATGGTCCGTTAGGTGCATATGTCAATCCGAATGGCTGGGTGCATGAGACGCTAACTT